AGCACAGCTGAGTATGAGGTGTTCAGGAACAGCGGTGGGTTATCGTTCACGTCCAGCATGACAATGTCCACATCGACCTCCGACTTAGCTCCGGTCAGTGTATCGGTAGCCTTCACCGTTAAACGGTAATACTGTGTGGTCTCATAGTCTAACGGGTAAATCACACGGATGATTCCTGTGTCAAAGCCAATGTCAAACTGGGAGGAAGGGTCTCCATCTGTGATGGTGAAGATGACGCTCTGGCCCTCGGGACTACTGGCATTGATACACAAGACGGAGGTGGAGACATCCAAATCCTCTTTGACGGTGACACCATAAAAAGGCTTGTCAAATACTGGCATAGCTTTATTTGCTACACTAACAGGCAGCTCCACCTCACTGGACAGAGGAGGGAAGCCACCGTCAGTCGCCACGAGGATCAGTTTGTACTCTGCGTTAGATAAATCTGCCTCAAAGGCTCTCTTTAAGGTCAGCTCTCCTGTCACAGGGTGCACCTGCATGGGATTTATAGACATTAATCAGTCCAACTCATGAATTTGCACAATTATAACATTTTACAGCCTCCCATATAAAATAAGGGATGTTTTACTTACTTGAAAGTTTCTGTGCTGCTCCTTAAGGCTGTACGTCACTTGTCCATTCCGACCGTAGTCTTTGTCAGTAGCTGAGACCCTGAAAACACTTGATCCTGGCTGTGCTTCTACCTGCACTACAGCGTAGTAGGGAAGGTTCACAAACTGTGGAGAGTTGTCGTTTACATCCTCCACCTAGAAGATTTGATTTTAAGAAAAACATAATGGGGTCATTTTAAAGCTCAGGAGGGTTAACACTGTTCAGCAACACAAAATCTGCACCGCAATCTCTTGACCACTGCACCACTGTCCTACCAAATTAGTCTATAACAAAAACACATTCAAGCCACAATGTAAAACGTATTTAAAGCATTCTAAACCAAAAGAATTGAAAACACTGGACTGCCCCAATGCGCCCAAGTCTGCATTACTGTAAGCATGAAGGATGGACAGAAAAAGCAACAACTAGAAGCATGCTTGCAGACAGATGATTTCCATACCTACCTGTACTTGCACGATCACCCTAGCCACCCTCAATATTTCATCTTCCCTGCTGACCTCCACCACCAATTCATAACTGTCCTTCTCCTCTCTGTCAAAAGGCACGCCAGTAGTGAACACTGCTCCACAAGTGGGCCAAATGCTGAAGCGCCCAACGGGGTTCAGCAGAGTGTACTTGAGTGGCTCGTTGAGGCGGTGACCAACTGTGCTCACCACAGTCACTAATGTGATATTGGGTATGTTCTCTGGGATGGAGGCAAAGTAAACTGGGAAGGTGAAGAGAATTCCGCTGTCTATAGCTTCTCGGACAAGCACCGTGACCAGTGTCATGCTGGAAAAACGTCCATCCCAAACCTTAAAGAAAGAAGATAAATGAGTCAGAATTAGCTATAGCAGAGAATGTAATGCTAGAGTTTTTTTTTTCTTAGCTCAATTTGACTGCCCTTATTTTCTTAATAAAAACAGTAAAATAATTCTGGATGTAATCCTGGGTCAGAAAATCCTGAGTCATGCAGATGATGTATCCCGTAACAAGTCACCACATAATTTTGGGCTCTATGTGCACAACTCTGCACTGACCCAGTAACCTGACCTTCTGGAGGAAATCATTATTATGTTTGCCCAGCTTAGTCCAGATAGCAGAATGATGAAAAGACTTTCAAATGGTATGTCATGTCCACTAAAGACCTACCTTCACATTGAAGCGATAACGATCTTTATTAAGGCTCTGATTGATGACGGTCACAACTCCAGTGTATGGCTCAACAGAAAAGAACTCCACATTGCTATCCACCAAAGAGTAAAGCAGCTGTGGTGTGATAGACTTGTCAGGGTTAAGTGTGGGGTCAGAGGTCATATCGGGGTCAAGAGCCTTAACCCTAAGAACCTCTACACCCATGTAGGTAGGCAACAAGAGGATTGTCTCGTAAGTGTCCTGGGAAAACTTTGGGGGCGAGTCATTGATGTTGATCACCTAAGACGTGGTACACAGGGAGTGAAAATAACGTTGAGAAATGACTACGATAACGCAGAACTCAAAGTGAGTCAAGAGTTGTTTATGAGACAATGAAAGCTGATTCATATGTTATTTGCTTACCTTTATAAGTACCTCTGCTGGGCTGTCAGCATCCCGTGGAGGCTGGCCACTATCTCTAACATGAACCCGAAAGACGAACTCAGAGAAGGTTTCATAGTCCAGACTGGCAATCGTTCTAAAAATCATTTAAACAAACCCAAATATATATCAACTTATACGGAAATTAATCAGATCAATAGTGATGCAACTTCTGCACAGCATTATCACCTACCGGATCGATCCGGTCCCAGAGTCCACGCTGAAGAACATCCGAGCAGTCTCACCTATGATCTCGAACACTAACAGGGCATTGTGGTTGCGATCCTTATCAGTTGCCTGGATGACCAAAGGGTTACCGTCCTCTGCCAGGACCACGCTGTTGATTGGAGCAGCCTCGCTGACTACGCCGACATACCTGTTAGGAGAAAAGGGTAACGCTGATGTCAGTCAAATATTTCTTAGGTCGGTCGAGAAAATCACTTTTTAACACTCAACAACTGATACAACAACTAATACCTGATTTGCTGGAATACAGGTGGGCTGTCATTCACATCCACTACTTGTATGATGACGGAGGTGCTGGCTTCCACTCCAGCCATGCTCAGGGCATGAACCACCAAAAAGTAAGATGTTGTTTGCTGGCAAAACAAAGAAATCCAGTTAAATTGTTTAAAAAACAAATTCAATTTAGATCCGATGTAAAGCCAGCTTTTTTTTTGCATAAAGAAGAACGTGACAGTGGCTTTAAAAATAATGCTATAAATCTTTGTAAATAGAAAATAAATCACAGAAATATTTCATGTTACCATCCTTTCCCTTTCCAACAATACCTTGTCCTCAGGGTATATTCAAACAAGTGAACCTCTGCATATTTATGCACTCTCAGTTACTTTTTTCTCATCTAATCACAGTGAGTGATTAGATGTAATGCTGATTACGGCTCTGAGGGCCACACCATCTGTTCCAGGAATGCTTGTTTGCTGTTGCTTTTTTGGCTGAATATAATTCTGACTATATATTTGGGTCAAAGGCACACCTACAAAATGCACTAGGGACAGAACGGAAGCCCCTCGTACCCACTGTTTGACTGCTAAGCATCTATACATCCAATATATAACCAAAAAAGAAAAACATTAACAAACCTCAAAGTCCAGCGGTTTGCGTGTAGTGATTACACCGGTATGGTGGTTAATAAAGAAGCAGCGCTCTTCGTTGCCTCTGGTGATGTCATAAATGAGTGCTGAGCGGCTGAGGGCGCTAACAGTGATCACGTAAGTTCCAGTTTTGCTGTTCTCCATAATCTATAAAGCCAAAGAGCAGAAATATACAGGTAGATTTTCAGAACTTGAGTGAGTTGTATAGACCATTTCCTGAAAAATACCGTTCTTACCTCCTGTATATCTGTCTAGACATTTAACCTCTATACACACATACCGCCTCCAAGTTGTCTTTATTCCTCCTATCTCTCCCACCCTCTCCAGACTTCTCCCTTCCGACAGTAATTTATCTCTAACTTTATTTATTTTTTTATTTTTTTTACCTCAGCCTGATACTCCTTCTGAGAGAATTTCGGTTTGGAGAAGTCTGAGAGGATCAAGGAAATGCGAACTGAAGCGGTGGCCATTAATGGGGGGAATCCACTGTCTGTGACGCGCACACTGAGGGTGTAAAAGCCTAAAGAAGTGAGGTCCAGTTCCTTGGCAATGAAGATAAGGCCCGTGGTATTATCAATGCCATACACACCACCGGTGTTACCTGAAAGTAGCAGAAAGGTTACAGACACTATTAAAGGAGGATACAAAAAGAAATCACAGGTCACTACACTGTTTAAAACACAAGCACAGATACAAATCAAAATGAGAATAATTTTCTTGCACATTGGACCGTACCTGCTTCTATAGTATAGGTGAGCTGCCCATTAATCCCATTGTCTTTGTCTAGGGCCGTCACCTGCACTACAGACGCGCCTACAGAAAAAGTCTCGTAGGCCGTAGCATCGTATACGGTGCTGGTGAAGTAGGGAATGTTATCATTGGAATCTTCCACTGCCACCAAGATACGAGCCAGGTCACGGTTAAATGGAAACTCCTGATCCTTGACCTACAGCAGCAAACGAGAGATGAATATGGATAGAGCTGTACGAAGCGATAAAAGAACAAAATCAGCAAAAATTAAGTGAGGCAGACACAGTTGCCAAAACGGACATAATTTATTGGATAGCACAGTGGCGCATAGAGACTCACAGTAACATCCAAGCTCACACACACACACACACACACACACACACACACACACACACACACACACACACAAACAGATTGTCATCCATGTTTCCTTTCCCACCATAATAGTGAGGATGTGCTGTGTCCGGGCTTCATAGTCGAGCCTGTCTGCGGTGTAGACGACTCCTGTGCCAGGATTGACTCTAAACAGCCTCATACTCGCCGGGTCTACGCTGCCATAGATGGAGAAACTCAAACGGGCACGCTCATCAATGTCTGATGCTCTGACCCGCAGCAGCTCCATGTCAACTGGTATGTCCTCAGATACGCTGACATCATAAGCTGGTAGAGAAAAAACTGGAGGGTTGTCGTTGCTGTCCTGTATTCGAATGAACACCTGAATGATGAAGACATAGGAAAAGGGAAATCTGCATAGTCAGCGTAGTGGCAAACAGCGATAGGAGATTTGGAGTCGAATTAGCTTCGGTAACTGACAATCCTCAATCCAATTCCAGAGTAAATGCAAGGCTCAGACACAACTGAACCCTATTTGCATTAAGACAAGGCCCTATTAATGGCAGACTTGTAAGCCAGAGCGAGCGTTCTCCAAGAGGCATGAGGTTCTTTTTGTATCTTGACCTTTATTTGCCCAGAGTAATCCCATTAATTCTCTGATATCAAGGATTTCCCTTACAAGATATACCCAGTAGGGGAGCCCCGACAGCAGGAGCACAGGGAATGTCAAAGCAGGGAAACAAAAGCACATTTCATAGTCAGTATGAGATAATTTCAGAAAAACCGAGCGCAAGCGGAGGAAGCGAAGCTGAGCGTAAACAGTTCCCCGTGAAAAGAGGGAAAAATCATTTAATTTGATGTGGGTCTGGGGCGTATGAGAGGCAGCGCCAGTGCATAACAAATTAAAACTCTGTGTACCTGTGCTGTGGCAAAGTTGGTCCCATCTGTCACCTGTACCGTCATGTTGTACACAGACTGCACCTCCGCATCAAGGGGCTTGGCCACGACTAGGGTCCCCACCCCCAGTTGGAGGTCAAACTGCATGTCAAAGCTCCCTGGAATAAATGAACACACACACACCCATCCCCCGTACACACGCTTAGTGTCAGCCTTTTAGTATTCGCACTGCATATAAGACTCAGGTGCTCTAAGTTATTACTGTGTAATTGTTTTGGCCAGGTGCCTTCGTCTGGAGCTGGAGGGACTGTGAAATAAAATGAACTGAAATGCAATGTGATGTAGCACCAAACCCACTTGGCAGCCTGAGAGCTGTTAACAGCCACGCAAACATCTGTCTTATCACTCCAAAACACAACCCATCTCAGAGATCAAAAACCCGCAGCAGGGTCTTTTCCACGGGCGGCGAGTGTACAGTTTAAAGGCTTAATGTTTGATTAAAGTGAGGGAGGGGATTGATATGTGTTAGGTATTCGGTACCATCCTTCCTCTCATTCCAGCTTCTCTCCCGAGATATCTGGGAGCCTGAGCACCCCTCAGCATATGAATACTGATTGGGCATTTTTCACACAACCACTGATGCGTGTTGAGTGGGAGCAAAATACAGGATCTCACATTGTTTATTTATTTTTTGTTCTACTTTTCATGGCAGAGCAGTGGGTCAATTCAACACTACGAGGGATCAATCTCACAGCATTGAGAAAAAAGAAAATTACAGTATGTAATCACTAGTTTCTTTTCCTGTCAGGGTGGAATGATGCCTCAGAGTTCTGTTATTAATCCGGGAAGAGCACGCCCGATAAGAAAGCCGTATAAGACTCAAACTCTTCTGTCTATCTATATCACAAAATCACATTCAGTGCCATAAAAATGATTAAGAATACAAATATTTCTCTAGTGTGATTAAAAAGAAATGCAGTACAAAAAAGCAATTATATGCAAAACTCTCAAACTGTACATGGCCCCTAACAAATGTAAGCAAATAACCCATATTTTCAGATCTGGCTTTGGTCTCCACCAGAGGAATACAATCTGCCTCTTTAGTTGCTAAACGCTCCAGTGCAGCTTCAGCACCACAGTTGTTTGCAGTGGCTGACCAATGATGCACAAAGCAGTGAGAGTGATCCGAAATACTAATGCTGCCGGGCTTGACAGTAAAGCACTGGGCTAGAGCTCTGTGAAGTTTTGTAAATCTAAGGAGCATCTGAAAATGTGGGCGGTAAATCTCTGAAGGGTCATTTATACTGTAAGAGCAATTCCTCTCACATTTCTTAGTACTTGTTTTAGTCACTGTAAGGTTTATCCATAACTGCTAAAAAACAGTGAGGTGCATTTGAATTCAGCCCTAAGTGGAAACATTAAAATAGCCTGTTGTTTTATAAAAATACTGTATGGAGGCCTTATGGAAGGGGGAGCCGTATCATTACAGGCTGCTTCTATCAGAAATGCAGTAACTTTCCAAAGTAGCTACAATGTAGCTGAACTAATAGCACAAACCTGTCTTGTGTGGGCAGAGATAATGATACCGCATAGTATTAGTGGAGCTGTGTGAGATTACTATTCCAAACTCAGATCAATCACTTCTGCCTTTGGCTAAACAAGGTCATGGAACTGCGTGCTACATTTCCTGGATTTCCTTAATTTCTTCAAACCTGCAGCATTTGGTGGGAAAAGTTGTGGCAAAATTAGCTTTGACCCGACCTGTGTCAAGCGAGCAGTTTCTTCCACATGCATTCTGAGGAATGTAGAACATTTCTCTGGCAGGGCGCCCACCTTAAAGGTGAGAGAGAGGAAAGAAAAAAGAGAATATAAATATTCATGAAGTCTGGATATCCCTGTGATCAAAGGGTGGATGATTTATATACAGCACTGCAAAGTTGACCTCTTGACGTTTTTACATTTATATGTGTCACTAAGTGATACAAATTGACTTTTCATTAGAATACTTAAGCTAAGGGTGGGTGATAAGAGCCTACTTCTGGAAGTTTGAAATAAAATATCCCCAATGCTTTTATTTTTTAAAACTATCTAAAATATGAATAACCTTTTCTGTACGATTACTCATCTAACATTAACACTAAGAATAAACTGGGAAAAACATTTGCACATTGCATTTTCTCTGTCGATTAAAAAAAGAACAATTAAATATTAAACATATTTTCCTGTTTTAACAGCTCTATATCTTTTATTTAATGTTAACTATCAAATACAAATTAATATTCTTTAGTTGTTCTATTAAAAACCAGGGAGGAGATCTGTTTTTTTTACCAGAGTCAGGGCAATAATGACGAAAACTAGAACAATTTATTACTAACTCACTATCAAGAAACACTTTATAACTTTTCATTAGTGTAACCAGGACACTTTTATTGTGGCTAACTTCATGAGAAAATTCAGAGTATGTACTGTTCTTTGGCTCTCTGTTAGTTCAGTATCTTATATTAATTTTCTTACCGATGATAGTGAACCAGACAGGTGTGCTGGACTGGCTGATAGCCACGACTCCCACTGGCTGGGCAACAGTAGCCGTCTCCGAAATGGAGAAATTGTAGTACCGCTGGGTGAACAGTAGGGGCACTGGTGAGGGGGCAGGTTTACGAATCCACTCTACATGAAGTTTAACAGTAGACCATAATGGCGGATCGCCACAATCCTCCGCTTTTATCTAAGAGAAGGAACAATATAGATAAATTAGTACGGTAACCCTGAGAGATCAAATGGACTGCAACTTATGAAACCACCAGCAAATAGAAAAAATGACAATTTCAGTTGCCTCAGGGTGCTGAATGAAAAACAACAGAAATATAAAAAACAAACAAACAAACAAACAAAAAACAAATCATGAAACAAAACAAGCTGTGAGAGTGACAGAAACCAAAACATGCGAAGGACTGCACTGAGACACACTCAAACGAAGCAGAGGGTTCATCGATATTGTAAAGAAGAAAAAGCTGCATATCAATATGTGCATTAAAATCACATGATTCATATAATATTGTAGATACACGTTTGGTATTAGCCGTTTACTCTTTGCAGTAATTCCACATTATTGTGTCCCTCTAGAAACACTTTTATTTTGTTTCATGATTTTTGCTTAACTTTCTTTCCATTTCTGTTGTGTTTTGTCTGCTTTTACAGTGTTTTTTTTATTTTCTGTTTTTTGAGTTGCAATGCATTTGACCTTTCAGGGCCACCATACCAACACAAGCAAATGGAGGACTTACCACTACTTGCTAAGGTATTAGTATGCATGTATTCAGGCCAACCAAAAACTTTGAGTACATTAGAATTCTTTCCTCTCCACTTCATAGACTGCAAAACCTACAATCATAATCTATACTGATCACCACTGCACTGACTGACTGCCCCTAGAGTGGATTAACTACATCTATAGCCTAGCAATAACATCCCATCCATACAAAAACTTTGATCCCAACAAATACAGATTAATGAGATGAGCCTCACTACCTGGCTTTCAATAGATTGGTCTGCCTTTTTCACACCCAACACAAATACAAAACTAGTTTGGCCAGTGCATAAATATGGATGCAAAAAATGCAATTTGTGTTTGTTTGTAATATTAGTCTGACCACAAGTACCGTTTCATGCTAGATCAACTAAGATCTATCATGCCACCTCCATCGACACCACTCCACCCCACAACCCCTCCACTCTGCTGCTGAATTTATTGGCAATAGAATAATGTGTGTGCTCCAGTACCTGGGCTTTTGCCTGATGAAACATGGCAAAGTTACCGCGTTTGCTTCTGCCAACTTTCCCTGAAAGCAGAGCCTTAGGATCTAACAAGCGCACACTGGCTGTGATTAGTTTGTAAGAAGAGAATTGAAAACGCAGCACTCAAGACATGGAAAAAAAGCAGCGCTGTGCCTTAAAGTCTTATCTCAAGGAAGGCCGTTTCAGCAATTTAGACTGTTGTTACTGAGCGCTGGCTTTTGTCTGCCATATCTCCCCACAGATTTAAAATACAGGCTTTCCTTTTAAAAACGAGGATAGCTTTTATATTTGATATGAGAGACTCACAGTGAGGATGTCATAGCTGCCTGCTGTCACCATCTTCTTTGACGACACCGTAGCAGTCCTGGGGTCGATACTGAACTTTTCGTCCTCATTACCGTTAATGATGCTGTAGGTGATGTTGCTATTGGCGCCATAATCACGGTCGTAAGCGAAGACACGGTACACGGGTTCCCCGCGTTTGTTCCTGTCTCGCTCAGGCAAGCTGATGCGGTAGGTGACCTCTGGGAAGGTGGGCGGGTTGTCGTTCTCATCCTGGACGTGAACTATGACCCACACAGTAGATTGGCGGGTGGTCACCGGGCCATCTATTACTGTAATCTGGGAAAAACGTGAACACAAGAACACAAATGCATGGGACTTTACTAGGGATCACATACATTTTATTGATATCGTAAATCTTGCTCATGCTGTGTGAGGGCAGGGCCACGTGGAGCTGAGCTCACGGGAAATCTCTTTGTATTATTGATCCCCTGGAGGCGGTGGCAGAGGGCTGATCACGGATCAATTGGATCAGATAGGGGTGAACACCAATGCTGCCAGCCTGACTCTTCACTAGGCTATTAATTACAGACAGCATAAGCAGTCAGGCTGAGCAGTGGGTGGCATGCATGGGTGGTATTCAGAACAATGTTTTAACAAAGACTTCTTTACTTGTTTCTTTCCAAGTTGGCCACAATAATATATTTTCTTTCTGTTGATGACAGTTTTCTCTCTACTGTTTCTTTCACTTTGTAGTGTGCTGCCATACATTTATTAAGTATGGGAGCTAAACAAGGCAGCATGAGTCTGGACAACTCAATTGGCAATTCGGGCATACAATACAACACATAACAAAAGCGCACAGGTGCAATCGTGTGGGTCAACTGCAGGTTATTTCATTCCATTTTGTAGAAAGGCAAAGTGCTCGTGAATTCAACAGCATTTAATAAGTTGTAAGCGAAGTGTGGGGGAATAGAAGTTTGTTCATGACCACAAAGTCAAGAATCTGTGATTATCAGGTTCATCTGTATGCAGAGCTGCAGGAGCAACAGAAATGGTAATCACCCAGCTATCTGTATGCCTAGTGTCTGCACTTATCAAATGCCGGGCAGACCAACTCCTCTCCTCCCTGTTCCCGTCCTGAGTGGAGAAGATAACCAATGATGAATGATTACATTTAGAAAATCCCAAACATGGGGCCCAAAACTACAACCATTCATCACAGTTTATGGAGCCTTGAGGGTCTGCCAGGGTTGTCCTCCACCCTGTCTTTGTTAATAGTAGGTTATGGCAAGTGGCAGGCCTGGATAAATAATATCAATATGAACCTATGAATACGGTTCAGGTTTTACTGTACCTCTAAAAAGTGTTCAGCTTGTTGTTCTCTGTCCAGTTTCCTCGCTGTTGTTGTGATCAGACCTACAAAATCATTAAAAAGAAAAAGAAAAAGAAAAGAAAAGATGTATATAACAAATAAAAACTGCTTTTATTGCTTGCACTATACATTTACTTTACATGACAATATGCACTGGCTTTATAGAAAAAAATATATATTTGTCATTAGAGTCACTTTATTTATGCATGCGTAAGCCCGCATGCGTGTAAGCATCACCAAAAAAACTACATACCACAACCCCAACTGAGCCATTCACATTCAGCACAAACGGTACTGGATAACTGAGGGTCATTTAGTTGGCTTTCAAGCCACCAGGACATAATAGCTTTGATCGATCAGCTTCATTCAGATGATGGTTGGATGGTGTGACAAACTGTATCAGGCTTCACTGGAAATCAGACACAATGGCAACTTCATATTCTCTTGATGCTATTTTTTTTCCTATCATTTGATTTAACTATTAATGTTCTTTCATTATACAACTAAAAAGCCCCCCTACACACACACATATATGCACATACAGCCATGTTTTCACTTAGTTCATAGTAGCTGAGGATTTTTCATAGTATGCTATATTGATTAACTTTCAATTCCTGGAAACCTTTCCCACTGCTAATCCAAAACGCTGCCTGCCTAAATGATTTACAATGAGGCCACATGCTTTTTGTCCCTAATAGGAAGGTAAGCCCCAGCAAAGTAACTGAATTTGCTTAATAACTGCCAGATTCAGTCAGTAAAAACTTTGGAAATAAAACAAAAAGCTCCTCAGACATTACTCGCACAAACAAGGAAACTAAGGAAGAAACATAAGCATTGATCTATAAGCAGATTCGGGACATTAAGATACCGTAAGTCAACATTTGTCTTAGCCTGGAGCTATTTTACCCCAAGATGCACAAACAAATGCAAAAGGGAAAAAGTCACTGATGATTCTTGTTTCAGTAAAAAAAGTATTTCTCTTCGTTGAACTGCAGTATCCTTTTTTTTTACTCACAGCAGGTGCTTATAATTAAAGAGTAACAGCATGTCTGTGCAACTAATGACATCCGTATACACACAGCGCACACACACAATAACTAAAAAGTATATATTACAGAAATCCCTCTGCGTGCACTTTTATGTGAAGTTATTAGAGCAAGTGTGCTTGACTGGTGACTGGTGGTGCTTTTTGTTTCGGTGTAATGAAGTGTTGCAGAGGGGTAGGATTAGTCTGGGTGCCTAAAATGCTGTGCAGTAAACGCTCAATGGGTAGACTAAAATCCTGGTGTGCGCACACATACACACCACACACTCTCACACACACACACACATTCACACATTTCCAAGCTTGCACATATCACAGTGTCACCTTGAGCTTGTTATGCAGGCTAACTTCAATTAAGCAAATTAGGAGTAAATCTAGAGCAGCGGTCATGAGCTCTGGGAGACAGAGTGGAAGGAGGAGGAGGGACTTGTTCAGCAGAACACGGCGCGAATAACAACTCTGATAAAAATCAATGATCTACAGCTTGCAGCACATCTGCAGTCATACTACACTCAGTTTTAATTGGACAATGAAGCAATAATTTGAAAATTCCCCACCCATACTTTCACATGCACACACAAAAAGTGATGGTCCAGTGGTCTGTCTTAAATCATTATACAAACTTCAGTTCACCGCTTTCTTCTTAGCCGCATAACACCTCATTTATTTTCTAATTCAAGCTACACTAAAAAAACAAATTTTTAATTTCAAGTTTGAAGTATTCATACTGGAACATCTTCCTTTTTTTAATCCCTTTAAGACGCAGAAATCTAAATCAAACGATTCATTAGAAAGATTGTAATTTTCCCAAAGACAGTTTGATCCAATAACAAATTATGACTTTTTGTTTTTACATATTACACACAAGTGACAGGTTTTGCTTTATGTTATAAAATAAAAATCAACAATACATTATTTAAGTGGCATTGGTTCCCTCTATTGTTTGATATTGGAACATAATGTGGAAAACGTGCTTCTTACATGTCCCTTTTTATTTAAAATTTTCTATCATGTGTTTACATTTTGTTACCAATGTTCTTGTCATGTGTCTGCTAATCAGGAAGAATTCAATGGGGAGAATTCATAAGTAGCATATTTACAGTGGGGGAAATAATTATGTGGTCCTGTGATAAATTTTTAAGTTGGTTCACTCACAAAGAAAAGAACAACTTTTATGGTTCGTTTCATTTTAATAGAGAAAGACAAAAAACTAAAAATACTGAAGAAAAACTTTCAAATTCTAAAGTGATTTGAATGTCATTAAGTAATATATGTATTAGTGAACTGGACACGGTGGACCGGCATGTCTATTACACGTGTGTCCGTGATGCTGCATTGCTCAAGAGGGATTTTGGCTCATTCCTCTTTACAGACACTTTCTACAGACAATCCTATAACTGACACTTGGCAACTCCAAGATTTCAGTTCCCTCCACAGATTTTCTATAGAATTGAGGTCTGGAGAGTTGATGGGCGCAACTTTAATGTACTTCCCCTTTAGCTACTCCTTTGTTACTTTGGTGGCCTGTTTTGAGTCAGTGTCATGTTGGAAGACCCATCCACTACCCATGTTCATCAGTGTTCTGGCTCAGGGAAGGTTCTCATCCGTGATTTTATGCTACGTGGCCCTCTCAATTGGCCCCTCAATGCAGAGAAGTTGTTCCATATCATTAGCAGAAAAACAGTCCCAATGCATAATGTTTCCACCTCCATAAATGACTGAGGGGGTCTGTGTTTTTTTGGGTCAGACTCAGCATTTCACATGATGTCAAAAAGGTTGATTCTGGTTTCTTCTGACCACAGCACTTTCTACCAAGCCTTCTCTGAATCATTTAAATATCCACTGACAAACTGAGTTGGGCCTGTATCTGCCTGCATCAGCAGTGGAACGTTGTGGGCATTCCAAAATTACATACTGTGTTATGAGGGGTGTATTTCCCACTTAAAGAACATTAATAAGATTTAGGCTCGTTTTAGGCTGATCCACAAACTTCCTCATGATCGTCCTCACACCATAGGGCAAGATTTTCAGAATACATATGGTCATTTTCAGGCTATATACATACATA